GCACGACGACGACTACTACTACTACTATTATTATTATTATTACTACTACTACTACTACTACTACTATTGCTACTACTACTGCCTACTACTACTACTACTACTACTACTACTACTACTGCTACTACTTCTTCTACTACTACTACTCCTACTACTACTACTACTACTACTACTACTACTACTCCTACTACTTCTTCTACTACTACTACTACTACTACTAGTACTAGTACTACTTGAACGCAAACTCCTCTGAATCGACCTTGGGTCGTTTTTTGGCAATTGTCCGAGCGCTCCCGGCACAGCAGGGAGGGCGCGAACGGGTCATCTGGGCCACTGACAAGGTTTGATTCGAACTCTTACATGCGTTTGATGTCGATAACTTAACACGGCTATATAGGGCTTGATTCGAACTCTTACAAGAGTCTCTATATGGCTTTCGATTTGATAATGCAAGTTTGTAGTGTTTCTCACAAGCACTACTAAGTTTTAAGGCTTTAGGATTTTCTAGTAGAAACCCCCTAGCCGGCCCCAAACGTAGCTGTCACTGCTGTGTGAGGGATTGCATAGGAATTTGCACGGGAAGCAACCCGAATGGTGAAGGTTGCAATTGGGCTCCCATGTAAACTCTACATTAACGGTTTATGATTTACGGTTCAGGCCCCAACAGCCTGTTGTGGCATGGCACGAAGTCATTAGGGCTTATCAGTAGCAGCTCTGTCTTTAAGGCTTCCGGAAGATATGCTTGAAACCAAAGGAAGGACAAAAGAAGGATCTACAGCCCTAACTGTGTCTCCAACAACCTCTTCGGTTAGAGCCTCTACCTTAGCACCATGGGCAAACCACGGGTTGTCTGCCTGCAAGTTCTGCTGGTAGTTAGGGGGACCCAGCTACACCCTCAACCCTAAGCCTTAAACTTTGAACCCTGAACCCTAAACTCTAGACCCTAAACACTAAAACCCAAACCTGCAGATAGGCCCAGAGGGTTCGATATCCTCGCCCCCTTCCTTTGGAAGGAAGCGGCGCTGGAAAAGCAGACCGCGTCCGCCACCGAAGCATCAACCAACAATTCACGGCAAAGCTTTCTTGTTTTAGGGCATTAGGGTTAAGGTTTTAGGGTGTGGGCTTTAAGTTCTAGGGATTACCTGTGGCCCAAAAGTCCTCCTTTTTCAAGGAGCTATGCAAAGAAACCATATGTCTTTTCGGCTACAAGGGTTTAGGTTTTGGGGTTAGGGTTTAGTAAACCTAAACAATTGGAAACGGATTCAGGACAATTAGCGCTGGGATTCCCTACACATTACTCTCAAGGATTGAGGCTATTGAGTTTCCAACGTTTGGGCTTCTACTTTATACGAAGGCTTACAACCTTAACATAAGGGTCTGAAAATTAGAACAGGGTTATGGTCCGGGCAGATTAGAACAAGGCTATTACGCGGGGGCATCTTACACTGAATTACACTGCAAAACCCTAAACCTAGACCCTAAACCCTAAACCCGAAACCCTAAACCCTAAACTCTAAACCCGAAACCCTAAACTCTAAACCCTAAACCCGAAACCCTAAACTCTAAACTCTAAAAGGGACCCGGAGAGATGATTGAGACTTCTGTATTACGCAGGCCAAGCGCTTGGTTTCGGGCTGTTTTAAGGTGCAATTGCACGGACTTTGGTTTGGGCTTAGGGGTTAGGGTTTACAGGTTTGGGGTTTGGGTTTAGGGTTTAGGGGCAAGGGCTAGGGTTTAAGGCTTTAGGAGTTAATTAGGGCCTACCACAATGGGAAGCCCTAAACCCTCTATGCTCTACTAAAACCAGTTAAACATACGGCAACAAATCCACATCCACACAGTCACAGTAAGCCTACAGAAATCCTGTTGTAAACGGCTACAGAGTCGTGTTTAGAAGACTATAGGCCTCAAAGAGTACTCGCAGATCTCTTAACTCTAAAGCCGTAAACCTCAACGGCTCACAACCCTAAACTCTAAACTCCTAAACCTTAAATGCCCTAAACCTCGAGGGGCCCTCACAAAGAGAGCTTGGTTGAGCCGTCGGTCAAAGCAAGGCTCCCTGAGGAGAAACTAAGCCTCGTCGGAACGTCATCCTCAGGATTCGTCACCTCCGAGTTTAGGGTTTAGGGGCTGGGGATGTCAAAGGTTTAGCACGAAGGGTTTAGGCACGAGGGTTTAGAGTTGTGTTTCTGTTCAGTTGTGCTGGCTTTCTCTTCGGCCTGCCTGCAGGAAGTCGGCTCACAATGGTGTTTTTATATAAGGAATGGGCTGATAGGGCTTAAGGGTTATTGAGGGTTCAGGGTTCGTCACCTCAAGGCGGTGGCTTTACGAGGTTCGTGGTTCAGGTCCCTTCATTTCAGGAGTCCAGGGTGTAGGGGTCGGGCTCAAGGCTTCTAGCGTGCGCGGTGTAGCGCGCGGGGATCTAAAGACTCGGGCTCTTTACGAGATCTCGCGTGCGCCTCAAGAAGGACTCTTGGGGCCTCCGTGCCGAGCGCTTTGAAAAGTTTCTGGGGGTCTTAGTGCTCTTGCATCCGTGTGGTGTTTTCGATGGAAATCACTGCTGCCCCTCTCTAATGCTTAGGGGGGTAAGGATTTGGTGAAGAGATTGCGATGTGTGCAGGGGTAGCCAGACTTATTGGACATTACATGTGACGAGTTCTTTAGAGGACTGTGTTGGTTCCTCTATGGAGGATAAAACTGCTCAACAGGTTTTGTACGATTCTCCACGGATCTTGGTCGTTACAGCCTTCATAGGCAAACCCTAAACCCGATTCTCTGCGAAACCGTTACGGCTCTCGGCTTCACGGTGGCCTTGAGGCTCTAGGGCTTTTGGGGCTTAACCACACACTGAACACTAAACCCGAGAGCGCCGTAAACCCTCATCCGAAACCCTAAACCCTAAACTCCTAAACCCTAATCTCCTAAACTCCTAAACCCTAATCCCAAACTCTCCATTCAAAAGCAAATCGAATTGGTTTCCTTTTCGACCAGAGTCGTGTGGCTGTGGGGGTAGGGCCTGATTAGGCTTTAGGAGATTCGGGTTTAGGAGTTTAGGGTTTGGAGATTAGGGTTTAGGAGTTTAGGGTTTGGATTAGGGTTTGGGAGTTTTTAGGGTTGGGAGATTAGGGTTTAGGAGTTTAGGCTTTAGGGTTTGGAGATTAGGGTTTGGGAGTTTTTAGGGTTTGGAGATTAGGGTTTAGCAGTTTAGGGTTTAGGAGTTTAGGGTTCAGGGTTTGGGGTTATGACAGCTTACAGCTTTGGGGTTTAGGCTTTGGGATGCTACGGGGCTTTGGGGTTTGGGAGCTCGTGGGGTTATGAAGGCTATGGCGGTATCACTGGTTTATGGGTTTAGGGTTTACGGGTATGGGTTTAGAGTCTGGGACATGGGGACACTATGGCATGAATCAGAATTCGAACTGCATCCTGCGACAGTATTGAGACAGCACGAATACCAAAAGCATAAACCGAAAAGAGGCTTGATTTGTAATGCTAGTGGGATCAGCATGTCCCAACCCTAAACAATAAAATCACAACTGAAAACCGATCCACTGCAGTTGCAAAGCCCTAGCGCAAGCCCGTAAAACCGAACACGAGAAACTCTAAACAGCCACAGCAGCAAAAGCTTTAAACCCTAGTAGCCTCAAACCCCCCTAAGCCCTCAAACTCCAGACCTCGAAACTCCACATCCCGAGACCCGAAGCCCGAAAACCCCTGAACAGCAAACCCCTATAGCCCTGACAAGCAACCCTAAACCCTAAACAAGAAGACTCTGAGCCCATCCTGCGACGCACCGTGGTACCAGTTTTGTTCCTCACAGGGAGACGACAAAGACGACGACCACGACTCTTACTAGTGCTCTATAACACTGGGGCTATGCACTGCATCACCACTAGCACCACGGCAACCGGCGCCACCACCGCTAACTCGAGTTGTGGCTTGTTTTCCATGTCGGGTGTATAACGTCTTCTATGCGCTTCGGCATGTGGCCATGTGCTTCGTGACGCTGGCTCCATGTGCTGATTTCCTTCTATCTTCAGATCACAACACCAGGTGATTACAGATACTCCTCGGCTACCTGTCTCATGGGCTAGTACTCCAGGTCCCAAAACTCAAAAGCTTAGGCCTTAGGACCTCGACAACTCAAACAACCGGAGCATCCATAACTTCCAACGTGATGACAAACCATACTCCCTCAGCCTCAAACCCAAGACCCCCAACTTGAGTCCAGCTTTTGCAGACTCCAAGACTTTCACGAAGACATCCAGAACGCCATACCTCCCGTCTAGCCGTAAACCCTTACAAACTACTAAAAGCTCCTCAAGCCCCCAACAAAAGTCAGCCCGTCCTCGATCTGTTTCATCGTAAAGTTGTCATCCGCCTCATCACGCGAAGCTGCCGATGCTGGATCCTTGCGGGGACTTGGGCGTTTCAGGCAAGCTTCACATGCAGTTTTTTTTTTTTTTTTGGGGCGGGGGCGGGTCTAGCGGCTTTAGTTCTGAGTTTGGGCTTTTGAGCTTACAGGGAATCCGGGCGTAGGTATTCGGGTAGCAAAGGTTTGGAACTTCTGTTGGATTGTGGAAAGTCGTTGTTTCGGATATCGCGCGTGGCCGAAGCTTGCAGCGTGCACCCCAGTGTTCACAGCCCCAATGCATACCGCTGGGGTTTCGGGTTGAAAAAAGTTTCAGGGGTTTAGGGTTTCAGGGTTTAGGGGAGTT